TACAAAAGCCTCCTTTGTCAGAATCCTAATTTATCCAACTTACAAAACATTACTGGTTGTCTTATAAATACAGCATTGTTGTTTCCACCATAATAGAAATATACACATGGGGAAGATGTTAGGTTTCCCCATGTACTCATTGCCTAATTAAGATCCACTATTCTTTAAAAAATGCATTAGTGTGGCTAGGTTTTCTGTTCTGTTGATGTCAAGGTGTTATTTAAAGCAATATAGTGTAGTGAAGAGCAACTGCTTGCTTTTGCACATCCCTTAACTGATTTGTGGAGGTCGGGAGGAGTTAGACATTATAAGGGTCAGAGAGTGGTCTTTGACATCTTAACACAGTGCCCCCGCGTATACACACGCACACAAAAACAAACAATATCCCCTGGCTAATAACATAGACCCTGAAGACACAGAGAGAAGAATGTAAGTGACAGCCTCCTCTGTAAAGCTGCAGGGGCGATGATTGGGATGTAGAAAAAGTAACTGTACCTCATTAAGAGAAGGGAAAACTGAAAGTAGCGTGGCCAAGTTTATATCTACAGCAGAGTAAAAATGAGGTTGTTTGGTTTCATTGACCTATTGTGAATGAGCATCTGTCATCCTGAGATCTACACTCTCAATAACTTCAGTTATACCCTGCAGATATGCGTTACAGCTCCTGACATAGTTCTTAATAAACTGAGAATACGTGTATATACACAGTCATTTCAATATCAAAACATGAAGTTAAAAAAAGACAATATGGCTTGTTGGGTTAACAGCTTACTCCCCCCAATACTTGGTTTAATTAATATTAGGCTATGCAATTGCATTAGTCACAACTCAAGCATCGCAATAAATATTTTGTTGATAATTGATATTACTATTGATGATTGATAAGTTCATTGAAGTTGATATTAAGGCGGTAAAACAGTCCACACAGCAAACAAATTACTCGAGCCAACTAGCCCTAGCCATGGCCCCACCATAGGTGCAAGGAATTTATTTACATAGCCTTAACTGGGGGCTTTGGAAGTGCTGTAGGTTGTCTAATGTTGGTTTGCAGCAGGAAAAGGGAACACTAAAGGTTGGAAGTGCAGCATATTCTCTGTCCGCTTCTAAGTGAGGGCCTTCTCCTCTCCACGTCTCTCCAATTAGCCGACATGGAGCAGAGGGAGGGAGGGAAGGAGGCCCCCACCAAACTTCCGTACATTGAACATTCCCCTGGACCCCTGCCAAGACTCACAGGCAGCAGCTCGCCGGTTTCAGCTCTGCCTCCCCCATACCGGCCTGGCTTACCCCTGGTGGGCCCCCTAAACCCCTGCCCCCTCCCTTGGCACACAAGTTGGATCAGAGGGAGGGGGTTAAAAAGACCGCTAACCCCCCGCCGCCCCCAAGCACCCATCCCTTCACCAGAGATATGTATACATGAGAATACTGGTCACAACCATGGGGCTCAAACTGTCCCATCCTCTGATAAACGGCCGTATTATTTCACTGTATAAAAAGTGAAGGCAGATTACACTCTGCCACACTTGCCATCATGTTGAATCTGAGGCTGAGAGTACTACAAGATAAGATTATGACTATCATAACATGAGATTACGGTCTCATACCAACACAGATCAGTGTCGGACCTGTGGTGAACCCTGGTCTGGTTAAACCGTGTAGACCCCGTCACATCAATGGTAATCCCTGAGACGTTACGTCACATGAAAGAAATGGACAGACTAGAACCAGAAAAACCACAGACACGAAACTATAAACACACCCCTCACAGAGAAAAAACCTGTAAATGTCAGAGTCAGTCTGGGCAATTGAAAGTGTTAATGACAGATTTATACAGTTTGTTTTCAGGGTGATATCACTACTACTGTCAACAAAATGGTCAACACACACTCCCCCCTCACTGGCTCTCACAGAAATACACAAGCACTCCTCATTTAGTACAATGGCAACACCAAATACACTGCCACCCTCAACTTCAAAATAGCTGTCCATAGAGCAGAGGAAGAGGATAATGGCTTTTGGCAGCCTCCAATTGAATCCAGCTGATTCTACTGTAAACACCTCCCTACTGGTGCAACACCCTGCAGCAGTGTTAAGCATGTTATCTATCAGGACTGTGCCAGTTGTTTGAAAAGCCTCATAATCACAGGCTCAGTAACTACCACGGTCTGGACTGGGCTAAGGTCAATTATGGGGGAAAGGGATAGACAATACAAGCCACTTTTACCAGGACATACACAAAATGTCTAACGAGGGAAATAATTAACTTTTTATTTGAAATCTCCAGGGTAAGTAAACTAACTGCTGTAAAAAAAAAAATTTAAAAACAAAAGAACGGAAACAGGGTATGGGGTATAAAGTGACATCAGACGAGCAGGCTCATTCCAATTACATTTGGTCCTGTAGTAGAAACCAGGCTAATGAGAGCAACCTGAGGACTGCGCTGGTGTTCTTGTTTTGTCTATAAAGGGTCAGAAGAGGGAAAGCAAGCTTTGGGTTTCCTTTAAAGAAAATGACCCTGCCAATTCAGTGATAAGCGACTGCAGATGGAGTTACTGCCAGGGTTTGCCCTCATGGCTTTGTTACAATACACTCTAATCAAAACAATGTCTAGATGCCAACAGCCTACAGCCTGGTTGGATCCAGAGCCAACATGGGTTATGGGTTTCCTGCTAGTGCGCTGCCAAAATGGCAAAAGTAGTAATATAATTCACTGAGTCTGGGCCTGAGCGAGAGACTGATTTTCTCACTTTGGGTCTTTTTGCACTGGGAAAGAACCAATTCTACACCCCAATATTAAGATAATTTAGAGTTCTGCGATTTCTGTGTCCACATTTGCAGATGTTGGCATAGCTTGATAGACTATCCATATTCTCCATATACTATCAGTGCACCCAGTGGATAATTTATGTATTCCCCTAGAATTAAAAACAAAAAAAAAGACTTTTATACTACTCCAGAGACTTAAGAATTGTAAGAAGGTCACTGCTGACATCTTGATTGCAACACAACATGTCTTGGATTGGGGGTGACCCCAGTGCTGGTGACTTGGCGCAGATACATACCCCCAATTTGCCTTAGTGCCCTCCAGATTAGCCACCTGCTTTGGCTGTAGTGGTAGCTATGGTGCTACAGCAGCAGTGTCTGGGAAGGGTAAGCCTAACTGTAAGGTATTTAAGAAAACTAGCAGACTCCCTTCCTCCTCTTACCAGGCTTTAGGTCTTTCTTTTCTCCCTATTCACTAGTTTTACATACACACCAGAGGGCCCCTGCAACATCTTTTCACAGCCACCCCCTTACTGCGTGCTCTTCAGCCTTTTGGAAAGATGGGCGTGCATATGGGAGGACCCTTGACCCTTGGTAAGAACAGGGCTCTGTGTGTGTGTCTGTGAGTCAGCTGGGTGTCTAGGAGGCAGCTCGCGACCTGATTAACAACAGCAGGGCATTAACCAACTGCCAGGGCTTTGAGCTTGACATAAATGGTCACACACTCCCACGGCAAAAACAACAAGCATTCCCACGTGTGTATACACTGGCTGATTCAGACACAAACACACAACATCTGCGACAATCCGCTTACATTCCAAGACATGGCACACACATACGCACAAACAGGCACCACGGCATATACGCAAATGTCTATGTACGCGTGAATAAATGCCCGAACAGTCTCCCCATCCAACTGCAAATGTACACATGTATGTGTGCCACTGCTGCTCACGCGCATTTTTCATTTCATCACCTCACTGGTGTGTGACGATGGAGATAAGACAGTGGTGACAGAGATGTCGGAGGGTGGAGGGGGGGGGGTGGGCGGTTTGAAATTGAACGGGAAATTATGTACTTCAATTAAGACACGCAGAGGAGATATTAAAAGCTATACTCCAGTGCCTGGGGACAGGATGCAGGAAGGGGGGATGCAATGGAAGGCGACAGTTCAATCAGAATCCCCGGCTTTCTCACTGAGCCGGAGGGGGGGTGGAGGAAAGGAGGGAAGAGAGACAGGACAGCTATGTTTAATAATGTACTTTGAATTAATGTAGAGGAATGTACAATCATGTGCAAGATACACCGTGTGATACGGCTACCGAATGAACCAAAAAACTAAAGAGGAGTGACAACAGAACAACTGGGGGGGTGAAATGTAAGAGTGTGCCTCTGTCACATTGGGAAAACACTGCAGCTGCAATGTGCAGGCACAAAACAAAACATAATCTCAGTCGTGCTCTCATAATACAGTTCTACTCAGTCAATGATCAACCTATAGATAGTACTGCGTGAGCCTATTAGCACACCATTACCTTCTAATAACTAAAATCATTGAGAAAAGCAAAGGGAGTTCTCGCAGTCAGTTCAAGAAACCATCACATTACACGCTCACATGTACAGAGTGTGTTCCAGGCCGCTCAGCCAATCATGAAAGAGCGATGATATAACACAAAAGTTCCCAACATTTTCATGTCAAGCCCCTTCAAATAAACACGTAGCCAACCAAATGTATTAATATTGAAAAGCAGCACGTGAGAGAATAACCTCTGATCAGTCAGTCTCAGGGTTCCTCATCGTTTCAGCATCACATAAGACACTATTATTCATTATTGCAAGGGGGGGACACCCTTTAAAAAACCCTCTGGGTATTTGGGTGGTCACTAGAAAGAACAATGTGTCTCACTTTAAAATGATTTCTGAGGACACACAACATGAATACTGTTAAGATTTGTGGCACCACAAATAAGCACATATAATTATCAATGGATGTTTTAATTCTGTAGCACTTGCACATTGCTTTCTGTAGCATCAAGCCTGTAGTTGTAACTGTATATCAAACATGAGTAAATGTCCTGACAAATAAAATTGCAATGCAGTTAGTCATTTTGCTCATTTGAATCTTGACATTACATCCAGCTTCTGTCCCCTTTACCTCTAGCCGGTGCGACTTTGATTTTCAAAACAGGGATCAGCAATGACATTGAGCAGTTCATCACACTGGAGGAGACGGTACTCACCTCGCGTTAACCACAGCTTTGGCAGCTTTCAGTGAAGAGTCGGTGCATGGCAGAAAAAAATATGCAGAAAAGCATTCTTCCGAAGTCTTTTCTAAAAGTTACCCGTAAAAGAGAGATGGAGCAGAGAGGATTCAGTCGCGATTTAAAGTCAGACTTGGCAGATAAGCCGACTGCTGCTGAAGCAGCTTGGTGACAGGATACCGAGGTAAACAACGGCCACTCAGCCAGATATACACACAGCAAGTACGGCAATTATGCTTTGAGCAAAAAAATGTAAGCAGTAAAAAACATGTCTTGAAATTACACTCGCAGGAAAAACAGTTTGTCAAAAACGTCACGATATAATAGGAGGGGGGCGGGGAGGGGAACGAAGCACCACTAACAACAAAAAAACAACAAAAACACACACACGAATAAAATGACTTTTTAAAAGCAGCTAAATTATGTAAGGTAACGTTAGCGACGGTTGGCCGTTGTACGTCGTCGACCGTTGCGAGGTTCTGTACAAACAGAGAAATCAGGCAGCTTTCTTCGTTCAAAAAAAAAATAAAAAATTCGCCGATGAGTTCTCGCGTATTAGAGCAAGCCGACGGCCAGTTAGCCAGCCAACTTGTTTTAAAGTGCAAAAAAGAAATGTTTTTTTTTTTTTGTTTGTTTGTATGTTTAGGTCGCCAGCTGGACGACTAGCGACGGGCTGGCTAACGCGAATGCAAAGTGAGAAACGACTCCGGGGAAATACATTCTGTGTGGATCCAGACAGCGGAGCGGACAGTCATGGTAGGCGTTCAGTGAGCTCTCGTTGACAGTGGTCTCGCAGCCATTTTGTTCAAACTAACAACACTGCAGTCTCCCTCTCCTCCTCCCAGCGAGCGAGACAGACCAGGAAGTGGCTCCAGATACGTCACTCCCAACCAACCAAAGCGCCAGATAGCTAACTCCGCCCGCCGCCCTCCGCCCTCCGGCCCGCCCCCTCCCCGCTCTCCAAACTTCCAGGCGCCCTCAGAGGATGGACAGCTCATATTTCCAAGGCAATTGCTGAAGCATGCAGCTAATACAGTACGCTTAAAAAAGAAACAAATGTGACGCTGTTATAGATTTTGTGCGGGTGATATTGTAAAGACAGCAAAACATAAACCACATTGATAGCACTGACATTTACCACAGTTAAACGCCAAATGTAATGACACTGTTTATTAAATATATTACATATTTTGTACTTTTGACAGTAGAGAGACTGTATTTAGAGCCTGTTCTTAGAACAGCTCTAATCATTATAGCCTTCTATGTAAACAATGGATCAAATAACTACGTGTAATATTAAAGGTGTTGCTTGTGGTGACAAATGCACTGAGAATTATTCCTGGTTCCCCTCAGCTCTACACAGCTATTTAGCGTCTTTTAACTCGTTGTTTTGGTTTTGTGATTTGCAACTTTATTGTTTTGATCCATTCTCAGCTCTCTCATCAGCATCCTTTTCAGACACATCAGGCAATGTTGTGTTTACAGTTTGCTGCACTGCCCCCGATTGGTCAAAAAATAAATGAGTTAATGTGTTACTGCAGCTTTAAGTTAAAGTGGCAATACCTTGGTGTACTTCATTACAAGTAAAATGTCTGATTTCATAATTTTACTGCTTTAAGCACTTTGAGTAATTTGCCCTTATGTTAAACTATTACTGATGTATCAACATGTAAGACACATTTTAATATTGTATGTGGTTGGAGTTAAGCACTTTTTTGGACTATTTTGAATTGCTGTGGATTTTAATGTACACTGGTGATGTGCTTTGTGTGTAAAATCTTGACCTTCAAAGTAACTAGTAACTACATCTGGTAGTAAGGTAGAAGATGTTCAATATTTTCCAGTGTAATGTTGTGAAGTAGAAGTATAAAGTAGAAAATGAAAATGGTTAAGTGCAAGTTAAGTGCAGGTACCTCAAAATAAAAACTAAGTACAAAAAATAAATGTACTTAGTTACTTTTCACCACTGGTAAAGTGATACATTACGTAATACTTTATAGTGTAGAAATAGGATACCATACTTCATGTGACTCATGACCGAACTAAAGCAAAAGGGCACAGAAATGGATGAGTCGTAAAAGTCTATAAGCAATTTGGAACTTGCATCATGAACTTTATTTAGCATACTCAAATGTCTGTTAAAGGCCCCACTCCAAGTTTCTCTACCCAGGATGACCTTTGTCAAGAATCTCTTGATCACATGATGCCCAGAAACATGGGGCGATAATTCCAGGCTATTCTCAACATGATGGATGAGGTCACCCTTATGCCCCCTGAACCGCGTCTGCAGCCGTCTCAGAAAAAAGAAAATGCGGCCCCTGTCCATTCTTTGCACTCCTTTCTCATGGAAATGACCGCTCCTTGCAAACGCGCGCGCACACACACACACACACACACACACACACACACACACAGTGAGGTGGGAACAGGTCAAGGCTGCAGTCCACAAAGGGGAAGGCTGACCAGTGAGAACTCTCTCAGCAAAGCTCTGGGCTCCTATGCATCACTGGGAGAGACTGCTAATGAGAAAGCCAGGGCCCCCCCGGCCAAACGTTGTTTTTTTTTGTTTTTTATCCTTTTCAAGGCAAGATGCCCAGAGCTATTAAAATAGCAAGCTCCAACTGAATGGAGAAAGCAGATGTTCCACACTGAGGGTTAAGAGAGGTGAGAGCAGAGAGGAATGCCTTCAGAAATGCCTTAAGGGATATGTAGTTCATTGTAGATCACAGACTATTAAACTGTATGCAGAGATTTGATGTTCATTCATGTCACCTAAATAAATTGTCTTTCTGTGGAAACATTTTGTCTCAGAGTAAATTTGCCTACTAAATTACTTTTAGCTTCCTTCATGTAGACTCACATGAGGTATCACAGATGAAGATGGAAATTTATGCACCAAAAAAAGGACAGCTAAGACTTGAAATAACAATAGTGGTTTGACATGATCTTAGCCATCAAAGGTGAGATGACATAGGTGTGTATGTGTGCACATCCTTCCTTGCGCACATCCTCTCTCCGGTTCATCACAGCTATTCTTTTGGGTGTCTCTGAGATGTTTCTTTGACTCCACCAATTTCCCCAATTGCTTTCACATTTAAACAGACTGCCGACAGAAGCGAGCCAATGGGAAAGGTCCGCCTGACATCCTGATAAGAAACAGCCCAGACACAAGCTGTAGGACTGCAGCAGAGGCAATTGCTCACTCCTTCCCCTATCCAACAATACACTTGTCCTTCTCCTGCTCTCGCCATTTGCCTTTTCCCCTCTCTCCATTTGTTTTTTCAGTGTTCTCTTCTGCCTTTTGTTTTAATTCCAGTCCAATCATGAGCCACGTTCCGCATAAGGTTTTAATTTCAAGCCTGCCGCTGGAGAATGCCAGACTCACAGACACACATGCACAAATTCACAGAAGAATGCGTGTGCATACACCAAACCACAGATTATTATGCATACCGTACACACACTTTACAATCACATCACAAATACACGTACACACTTTTGTGTTACGTGGCTACATGCATATTTTATGCATGTGCTCCATGGCTACATTTTATCATTCAAACACGTTTCCCATGAGAGAAAGTATATCCATCCAGAGACATTAATAATCACACATATTCATAAAAGTCAGACACATCACCAGACAAATTACATAAAAAGAATCCCAACAGGCTTTATATTTACTTTAAAAGTAAAAAACATATTCCAATGTTTATGATAAATTGGCTAAATCAACAAATTAATTTTTAGTGATCTATTTTTTGCCTTACTCCAAAATACAAAACCCCTCTCCAAATGCACCAATCTTAACATTTAATCTTGTGGAATTGACCAAACAAACATGAACTGAGGGGCAGCCAAACATTTAATGACAGCACTGAGTACAAGAGCAGATCTTGGTTTTAAATCCTCATTTCCCCAGACACTGCATTCTAGAAGAAGACATTTATAGCTGGCTGTGTGATGCAGAATGACTAATGGGTCGGGGTGTCAGTATTTTAGTATTGATTATGAATACTCAATCCTCCTCCACAGTCTGGACTTTATGTATGTGAGTAATCAAAATGCAGACAGCAAGCTGCTGCTGCTTCGCTCAAAGTGACATTTCCAAAGGCATTACTTGACATATGCAAAAGGACGGTCATGATGATAATTCTGACAGAGGAAGGAGCCAAATGAAACCATCTCCTAAACGCACATAAAAGAAAAATGTTGCACAGCAAGTCTCCCAGTCCTGCTACTTCAAGGCAAAATTTGCAAGTAGTAGCTGTGCAATTGAGCTGAAACATTCATTGTGAGTTTCTCTTTCTGATTAGCAAAGTGATTGAAGTGCCTATCCATTAAATAATAGTGAAGACTGGTAAAAAAAAAAAAAAAAGAAAACCCTGCTGAGTTACTCATTGCTCATCTCTAAGGTCTGCAGCATTGCAATGAGAGATAAGACAGACTGCAAGTAGCTGAAGGCATGGAAGTCCATAAGAGGAGGAGGGATCCTTTTCATTAACTTTCATTAAGACTAAAGAGTGAATTACCCTGAACAGAAGAGGTCTGACACATAAAAGCCGTGCGGAAACAGGGAAATGTATACACACTCACATTCTCCTGCAATAAAACACACATGCCTACATGTACATACAAACATGGGTGCAGTTACTGTTACATATGCTGATATACGATTTGACTATGTCTTGCATACAATGTTCAACGCAGACCGTGGCAGCAAAATGCTTCTAATCCTCCATATACTGTTGTGCCTCTGTATAGTACATAATATATTATGGGGGAAGGACAATAGGAAGAAGAAATAGTCTATGCAGCGGCTGGTAGAGGGGCAATGGTAGGGGTGGGGAAGGGGGTGTGTATGTGGGGGTGTTTTTGTGTGCTTGCATGCTCATGTGTGAGTGGATGTCCACAGTATATGTGTGTGTATTTGTGTGTGTCCATATGTGTGAGCTGTATGGGTGGAGGGAGGCAGGGCAGAGCAGAGCGTTGCAGTGCAGTAGGACAGCGTTTCTGAGCTGTGGTAATTTCCCCTGAGGCCAGCGAGCAGGTAAAGGCCAGCGAGAGAGAGAGAGAGAGAGAGGGAGGGAGGGAGGGATAGAAGAAGGCTGGAATAGAGAGAGGAAGGCAGAGAGGCAGTGTGTGAGTATGGCAGAGAATAATGAGGAATGATACAGCGGTGGCGGAAAAAGAGGCCGGCAGATTCTCCCAATCAAACGCTACACACATACACATACACACTGCATTAACAGCAACCCAAGGTTGAATGTAGCTCCCATTGTCAACACATTAATGTTTCTATTTTCATTTCAAATGCCTTATCTTGTTAATGAGTGTTTCTGAACTGAGTCATTGTTTTTGTAATGAATTCATCTATTAATTACAAGTGCGCCTTTTCCTGATGACCTTGCTTTAGTTTGTTACAAGCTGCAGACCTTAATATTAGCATACATTAAGCCCTGCTTATCTTTCATCCCCAATAGCTAATACGTTAAATTATCACCTCCCCCTCCCAAAAAAACCACAACAGTGGTTTGTATACTGGGGTTTGTGTGCACGTGTGTGTGTTTGTGGGTGAGCACCCTCACTTATTAGCCCCTTCCCCCTCCCTACTTGCAAACTCATTACCAGGGTATAAGACCTGCGTGGATTTTATGGTGTTTTGGGAACTGACTGGTTAATCAGATTTATTGCACACTTAAGCTTAATTGATTGCCTTTATGGATTCAAATGAATAATTAAGTGCTAACAAGCCTAGTTTCTCATTGTGAAATGATGATAATGACCCACAGAGAGGGAAGGTACTGGAAGTGTCAATCAAAAA